GTTGATTTTCGTCATCTGATCCTGCTGCTGATCCTCCTGTTTGGCGCTCGGCTGCTGTTTGCACGCGTCCAGCCGCAGTGCCTGCCCGGCGAGTAAGAGCAGATGCTGCTGCCGCTGGCGCACTTCGAGCAATTGCGTCTGCAACTCCTGCTCCTGCTCCCCTTCACGCTCGTCATCCAGCTCCAGCTCACGCTCCAGCTCCTGGCAGCGGACGCTGCTGGCATAGCTAAAGGGATCGCTGTCCACCTCATTGAAATCATCGATCTGCAGCTGCTCCTGCTGCTCCAGCGGCGTCTGCGCCTCCTGCTGCTCCAGCTGCTCCAGCTGCTCCAGCTGTTCTAGCTGCTCTTGCGGCTCCTGCGACTCCTGCGACTCCAGCTGCTCCAGCTGCTCCAGCTCCTCCCGCTGCTCCTCTTGCTCAAAATTGTCCACATTGTCGCCGCTGTTCCGCAAGGGACGCACCATCAACAGCTCCTTCACCGTCTTCACGGGCTTGCACAGATAGACGAAGCTCTGATTCTGTTCATCCGGCAGGCGCAGTGCCTTCGCCAGGTTAATCTTGCGCAGCTCAATGCTGCTGCTGCTGCTGCTGCGGCTGCTGCTGCAGCAACTGTTGCTTACCACCAACTGGCGTTGCTGTTGCTGCGGCTGTTTCTTCTGCTGTTTGTGCTGCTGTTGCTGCTGCTGCTGCTGTTGCTGCTGCTGCTGCTGCTGCTGTTGCTGCTGTTGCTGCTGCTGTTGCTGCTGCTTTGCTGGCTTCTCGACGATCGTCTCGTAGTTGCTCGCCAAAATGTTGCTACTCTTTGGCTTCTTCTTCAACGGCGACTTGCTGCGCGTAAATGCAGCCCTGTTGCTGCTGGGCACAATGTTGCAGTTGTTGGTGCTGTTGATGGTTGTGCTGGTGATGGTGTTCAAGTTGCTCGAAATATTGGTACTGCAATAGTTGCTCGATAGATTGGTGTTGTTGCTGTTGTTATTGCTGAGCTTGGCCACGCGCGGCAAGAACTGTCCACGTCCTGCCGCCACACGTCGATTGCTGTTCGGCTCGGCAGCAACAGTTGTCGCATTGCCCACAGACCGATTGGCAGCATTCAGATTGGTCAAGCGCTTGGAGCGATTGCCAGCAGTAGCTAAGGGCGATGGGTTAGCAGCTGGTGAAAAACTGTTTACTAAATATTACGTATAAGCAAAGCTGAAGCTCTCGTCGGGAGTGAACGACTACAAAATACCCGAAGTAGCCCTACCCAAGGCCAGTAGTTCCCTAATCTGAGACTGCTTCTGGACACAGAGTTGTGTGGCCATCTTTAAGAGGCGCCTCTAAAGTAAACTTGCTACGGAAGCTGCTTTGTATAAAGGTCTCTCAATGAGCACCAGAAACTGCATAGCAAATTTGAACTCTCCAACAGAATTGACCGAAAAAAACGATGATAAACTTGAACTAGCTTAGAGTTATACAAGAATATATATATTCAGAATTTCATAACCCATCGAAATTTGTGGCTGAGGAGCAAAAGCACGGAAGGACCTTATACATCGCACATGGCGCAGCACAGCTCAGCCCAACAGGCTTTGCCATGCTTCCTGCTGCCACTAAGCACTGCATTCCTGTTTTCCAATTGCTACGGGGCTCTGACTAGGCTGTGTTTGCCGATCTGATCTAGAAACCACTCTTAACAGCGTATCTCAAAGCTGATGACAGACCAAAGAAGCACAAAACTAATGCAGCTAAGGAGAAACTCATTTCTATTTGCCCACTTTTGGACCAAAAACTTGTAGAGGGCGTCTCGAAATAGTGCTCAAATGTTTCGCTGGCCAACTCACCATTTGGAGTACGCTGCATTAGCTCCGTTCTGGTGTAGGTGGTCTTACGCACTGCGGTCAACGTGCCCATTGCCACGCCGGTTGGGGGACCGGCCACCTGTAGCACCTGGGGCAGGCCATCATTGTCACGATCGTTTCGCATATGATTGAAGCGTGTTCGATTCATCTTCATGCTACGTCATTCGCCTCAAGCGTTTGCCCGATTTTCGGACGCTTTTCCGTTCAACTTTGCGATTTTAAGCACCCAATTTAGCTAGACTCCTCGAATTGCCTGCCTCTCCTCCTGCGTGTGTCCTTGTATGTGTTTGCGTGCGTGTGTGTCTATGTGTGTATAGGAAAATCGAATCTGTCCAAAACAAAAACGTGTTGCTGCTCGATGAAAAATATTGTTTAGGCCGGAGCTCAATTGATATCCATACCCAAACGAATGTATACACACTGTGAAGGCAAAGGCAAATAATGGAAGTTCATAGTCAGAATTTAAAAAAAGTCAAAAGCAAATATTGAAGCGTGCTTCACATATGTAGTACATATATATATATATATCTGATATATATATGTCTCACATAAGATCTTTGAACATGTTAAGCTGTGCAAGTTGCTTTTGTATTATGCTGTCTTCCTTACTGCGCCTGTCAAATTTGACAAGCACTTGCTCGTATTTTCCTTCGATCTGTCTTTTACCATGGCTCATGTCTTGCATACCACTGGAGAGCTGTCATAGTCGACATATGCCTTGGTATCTATAGTAGCTCTGCCCCAAATGCGAGCTCATTTCATTTATGTTCTTGTCAAAGTTGACAGGCACAGACATCGCTTGGCAAGTGTTATGTAAGCTACAGTCTTACACAAGTCTAAGCCACTTTCTCTCATCTTCATGTCAAATTTAACATGTACTTAATAGTGCTGTTGGCTTAAGTTTATCCCTTTGTTGCACTTAGTCAACTAATCCACATAGAACTCTACTCCAATAATGCCCTTTTATGTTCCAGTCAAATTTAACATGCACTTTAACATTAAGTAAACCTTTCACTCCAATACTTTAGACTACAAATGGCATAGTTTCCTAGATTCGCCTAACAGTACCCAGTATATATTGCAGACACAAATTTACTTCTAGGATTATCTAGAGACGCCTTCTTCTAGAGGCATCAATATATACTCAAGAAGTATCTCTATAAATGCTGAAAAAACTAAAGCTTTTATTGTACGCTATCTGACACTAAGGACATTATTTATTTAGAAAGTAGTTATGTGGCTTGGACATTCGTTTGGAGCCCATTCGATGATCCCTGGCCACATGCTGCGCGAACTGTGCTTGGCGTAGGGCCTCTCGCTGTAGGAGCTCGTAGCGTCTGTCTATAATGTTGGCATAATCATCCCAGGCGGCCATTGGGGCAGACTTCCTGGACATGCATCCCACCGGGTGATTCGGACGTCGGCTGGCATTGAAAAGGCTGGAGATGTGGCAGCAATTGGGATGGCTTCGCCCGAATGGATAGACGCTGCTAACGGGTCCCGGCACAAATGTGGACTGCACTCGCTCCAGCCTGTTGCTCGATCGTAGCTGGGTCATAGTGTGACGCTGCACTTCCTGCCTCATGAAATCGTCCAAGTAACGCGTTTCAGGCATGGCAGGATGAGCACCCAACACCTATTTGAAAAGCTGTGCCGAAATACGAAACAGAAATTTTGAATCTATCCAGATTAATGAAATTACCAACTAAGCCTGCTGCAGCTTTGCTGTTGAGCTGGAAGTTGTATGTAGCAAGCTATGCCAAAAGGAGCTGAATATATGCGAGTCTTGCTACTGCGACTTGCCACATATAATTCGCAACTGGTTTAAGCGCTCAGTTTTAATAAAATATTCATTTGATCTTTAAGCAAATAGCTCAAACTTATATTTTTCCAAACCTTTTTTTAATGAAAGAAATTTAAAAATTTAAAAAAAAAAAATAACTCCAAATACGACTTAGTTTTTAAGAGTGACTTTCTAGTATTTTTTATATTTATTTGGTATTTATTTGGTATTTATTTGGTATTTATTTGGCATTTATTTGGTATTTATTTGGTATTTATTTGGTGCCAAGTCACCCAATCCTTTAGTTAATCAAAGAAAATTGCAGTGAACCGAAACCAAACTTTTTTAATAAATATCGCACAATACTTAAGGCAAAATAGTTATATACTAAAGATAACTTTCGAGTTCGACTCGAACCAACATTAAAATCTATTTCGTTACATTAAGATTGGTTCAACTCATAAACTTAAGAGGTTCAAGCTCGTTGCAATAAAAATCTATTTCGACTTTGAGCTGTGCCCTTAACACAAATTAACAGTGGAACGTAAGCCTAAATGTTGTGTATGTATGAATTTACTTGGAAACCAATTGAAATCGGTTTAAGCAGCACAGCGAAGTCAGAAAAGTTCAGTAGAACACAAAACTTATAAACAAAGCAAATTCTATTTATTAAGGCAGAAATTAGATTCGAATTGAACCGAACCACACCGAATCGAACCATTGTCTATTTGTTTAATTTTCTTTAATTTCATTTTAATCATTTTTCATGCTCCGTTTTGCTCTCCACTTTCGTAAACGTTGCAGCGATCAAAAGTGCATTGGTGCTCCGGCCTTCCGTCTGCTGCCCGGCATCGATAATTGGTGCGAGATCAATTGTCTGCGCTATCCGCCCAATTGCCCGGAGACTGCATGCCACTGTCCGTAAGTATCTCTCTCCCTCTCTCTTTCTCTGTCACTCTCTCCTGATGTGCTCTTTCTCTTTCGTTGCAGTCAAGAGTGCGTGGCGATTGGCGAACTGGAGGGACGTGAAGGCGCGGATACCTACTGCATGGACGAATGCCTGAACTACAAATCGGAATGCCCGCGCGATAGATGTCGCTGCTTCTAGAGCGAGACAACCGCTATGCCGAAACACAGAAACAGAGACAGAGATAGTGAGAGAGAGAGGGAGAGAGAGCGAGGTATATCAATTAGCTGTGCTGCTGCCCCATTGCCAGATAAAGACAAAGTTTTGACGAATTGTAACTGAAATTTATAGCTCCATTTCAATGCGAATATATATCTATATATATATATATATATATATATCGGTAGACATACATTAAACCGATGAATGTGAATGTGAATATAGAGTTTATTTGTTATTTTTGAACTATTTATATACTATTCTATATACATGCATGTAATATCTGTCTGGACTGCTGTTGTTGCTGTTTCTGTGGGCTTTGCTGTTTGGTTTTTGGCCAGGTGGCAACGCTTCACTTGCGTTGTATGCCATCCTCATAGAGGAATGGCCGCGTGAACGCCTCCAGCAGATCGCGTTGCTCCCTCAGGCGCCGCAGCTCCGACAATGGATTCGCCGTCGAGATGCGGCGCACGCGGAACAGCGTGGACACAGTCCCAGCTATTTGACTCCAGCGTTCGCTGGCGCGTGACTGCATCACATCCGCGCAGAGATAGTGATTGCGTCGCTCCTCCACTGACGGGCGACTGGCTCGAGCAGACTGCGCTGCAGCAGCTCCGGCAGCTGTTGCCGACATCAGACTTGTGCCAGCGGCAGGCAAATGGCCACCCATCGCCGCTGATCGCGCTGACCCCGTTGAGCCCGCTGACGTTTTGAATGGTTCGCTGCGTATTAGCACTTCGGCCAGCTCCTCGCGAACATCGTCCTCAGAATCCTCGTGCGGCAGTGCCGCACAGCTACCGCAGTTAACATCGCTTACGTGGGCGAAACTGGACGCAATGCGTCTCAGTGACGCGGTTGGCGGCGGCACAATCGCATTCTGAATCGGACTTGGCTCGGAGCTGGAGGCATTGGAACGACCCAAGCGACCCAAGTTCATGTTGGATAACTTGTTGCCATAGCTAGTGCGCAGCTCGGCGCGTTGGCGTCGTGCCTCCTCCGAGCCAATTGCCAACTTCTTGCCTAGCGGCATGCTCCTGCTGCTACTCCAATTCCCAGTTCCGGGCAAGCTGCGGCTGCTGCTGCTCCTGCTTCTGCTCCTGCGCCTGCTCCTGCTGCCAATTTAGTAGCAATCGATACTCACCCAAAAACTTTTGCCGAAATGTTCGCTGTGAATTTTGATCAGAGACTGCTGAGTTCCACTCCCATCCCAGCCCACAGCCACAGCAAATCCAAAGCCAGCCTGGATAATCTGTTGTCCAGCTCCCAGCTCTGACCACCTTTCAAATCAAAATGGAAACACATTAGCAATAGAAGTAATCAAGCTACTTACCACGAAGTGAATGTATAAGTATAATTAAGAGTATAAGTTGTAATATATGAGCTGAAGTAAAGAAATTGGTAGAAGTAGAAGTAGAAGTAGAATGAATACTGTAAATATGAAAGTAGAAATTGAGCTAATAACTAGAGTATATGAAGTAAAAGTAAGAGCATGCATGTGAGTAGAAATATAAGTAAAAGAAGCAAGTCCAAATTGAAAAGCTTAGCAGCAGAGCAGAAGAGTAAGTTGAAGTAAAGTATAAGTATAAGTATAAGTATAAGTATAAGTATAAGTATAAGTATAAGTATAAGTATAAGTATAAGTATAAGTATAAGTATAAGTATAAGTATAAGTATAAGTATAAGTATAAGTATAAGTATAAGTATAAGTATAAGTATAAGTATAAGTATAAGTATAAGTATAAGTATAAGTATAAGTATAAGTATAAGTATAAGTATAAGTATAAGTATAAGTATAAGTATAAGTATAAGTATAAGTATAAGTATAAGTATAAGTATAAGTATAAGTATAAGTATAAGTATAAGTATAAGTATAAGTATAAGTATAAGTATAAGTATAAGTATAAGTATAAGTATAAGTATAAGTATAAGTATAAGTATAAGTATAAGTATAAGTATAAGTATAAGTATAAGTATAAGTATAAATATAAGTATAAGTATAAGTATAAGTATAAGTAAAAGTACAAGTATAAATATAAGTTAAGTAGTATTATAGCAGACGTATAAAAAGTAATTTAAATTAAAATTTAACTCTAAATAAATACGTACAAAATAAGCCAATGCCAATTTTTCCAGGATATACACAAACAGCCCCTTATGAATACTCAACTTTAAAGAAGCTTAATTTTAGGGCAATTCGATTATTAATCTGATATGTATAAATATAATTATAAACTATGACGACCCCACATACCGCAAAGGGCTTGATTAATTGCTGATCACATGTCGTACAGTATATACTTAATAAAAACGATTGGGTAGTTTGGAAAAATATAATGTATTGTATAACTATCGGCCTAAATAACTAGTTAAATAAGAACTGAATGCAGTAGGCATCTAGAACATCAACTTCTTCTTCTGGGGCAAAACGTTGCCACGGACTGTCGTCTCAACCAGTTTTCGCTTGAGTCCGGGCTTCTCCTCGCCGGCAACACTGGCGCCCTCCTTGGCGGCCAATATGGCCGATGGCATGGGCAGTTTTGGGCCGACGGTGGGGGCTGGCTTATTGCGAAAATAAGGCATGCTGAGCGCCTCACGGCATGAGCAACGCCTGAGAGGATTCATAGCAAAGAGACGGCGCATCAGCGTGATCATATCATTGCCAGCGGCTGTAAAGATATTCTGTAGTGGTGTGCCCACAAAGTGACGAAACTGAAGATAGTCGTGGAGCTTGCTCAGATGCGGCCATTCGGCCTCCGTGGGTGTGCCCAAGACGCTGAAGATTCGCGTTAACTGATCCAGGTCCGAATCGCCGGGCAGAAAGGGTACACGCAACATCAGCTCAGCCAGTATGCAGCCAACGGCCCACATGTCCACACCGGTTCCATATTGACGGGCACCAAAGAGTAGCTCCGGTGAGCGATACCAGCGCGTGACCACATGATGCGTGTAGATTCGGTTGGGCGAGCCAAAACTTTTTGCCAAACCGAAATCGCCTATTTTTAAGATGCCATCGCTGTTCACCAGCAAATTGTTAGGCTTAAGATCGCGGTGCAGTATCCAATTGACGTGGAGATATTCGAGGCCACGCAGCGTCATGATGGCATATGCCTTAATGTTCGCCTGGGTGAGTATAATCTTGTTGTCCTTGATGATCACCTCCAGATCGGTGTCCATGAAATCAAAGACTAGCGACACATTCGACAGCTGGCCAAAGACATCGACCAGTCCAATAATATTCTCATGCTGCAGCTCTTGCAGTATTTTAATTTCACGCAATGCTGTGCGATTGATGCCATCGCGTGCCTCATCACGGCTGCCCTTCTTAATCTTCTTCACAGCCACAATTTGGCTGGTTACGGTGTCGCGCGCCTTGTACACAATGGCAAACTACAACAAATACATTTAAAACTTAACATGTGCGCACATATATAAATGATTGCTTACCTGACCCTCGCCAAGAAAGGACAGCTTGGCATAGCGATCCTTTTTGTCATCTCCCAGGGGCAACATTTGAACGTTTATGCATAAAAATATAAGAAAACAATCGCTAGCAAATTGAAAAGTCGACCATCCCAGCTGGCAATTGCGGTATAAGCCGGTGCGATAGATTATTAAAAATATCGATGAGCCACATTATATCGATAGATGCATGCCCTTCAATATTTAATATTCTACACATGACAGTTAACTACACGGTCGCATAGAAGTAAAAACTTGAAATTAATCGTTGACAAATCGATATATTTTTAAGTTGTGAACAAATTCACTACCAAAGTAATCCATAATAGTAGATGCAATACCTTTGTCATTTGTGTCCGTGCTGTTGAGAGAAACATTTAGTTTGTGTGTTCTTTGCTAGTTGTTGAAGCAGAAAAAAAGCCAGCATGTAAGTAAAGCCAAAATCAACTCGACGCTTACACAAATAAAAAAGAAAAACGTGAATTTTTGCAAACGTCTCTCAAGAGCGTTTGATGACGGCGTCACCACTAAAATCTATCGGTAGGTGGTCTGGGGTCTCTGTCTGCCTGCAATGTTCAATTTGTGCACATTCAATTCAATTTAACAATATGCGTATCTGCATGTGTGCATGCAGCCGTACGCATTTGTGCATGATGGATGCAAATGAACTCGCCCATTTGTACAAACTGTTGCTAACTATATAGCAAAAGATATACTTTTTTTTTGTTTGTGTAGAAGGCCGGCGTCGCACGACGTGGTGAAGCCGCGTGCTTAACAAAGGTTCGGAGTTATGTGTACTATGTTAACGTAAATCTATGCAGTATTGGTCTTATGCATTTACCGAAAATGTATAAACGCCATTTCGCATAGTTTGATAATTTGGAAATGCCAAATATCTTTGCAGGCGAATAGCTACTCGTCAAACAAATGAGGTTAAGCACGAAGCAGTATGAAAAAATTTGCGTCATGTTTCAGGCTGGCGCGTGTATTGGCGTCTGCTCGTGTATATGTTGCGTGTGTGAATGTGAATGTTTGTCGGCAATTGCCCGAATGTCTATGTGTGTATATACAGGTGTGTGAGGCTATGCATTACCATTTGTTATTTGGCAGTATAAATAATAAACACTCGTCTTAACATTTCCATTGCATTTCTTCATATTAATTACCTTTACATTATCACTTGGCTTGCTTTCTTTTTTTCTGCGTGTACATTTTGGCGCGCATTAGCTGCGTCTGCAGCCACTAGCTCTCCATTTCGCTTGCTCACTCGCACTCGCAGCACTGCTGCTTTTGTGTGTGCGTCTATGCTCGAGCTACTTACATATGTATATGTGTGTGCTGATTCAGCTGAGAAACGCATTTCAACAAAATCTGTAATTTATGCTCGTATGACACACAATTTGTTTTCGCTTTACTCCCATTGCAAGTGTGGAATTGTGGGAAAAATGTATTCTGTGATAATGTTCGTAAGAGGAGGAACTTGGTATCTCAAAATTCATGAAATAAAGAGAATATATGCAGACGAATTTTCTGTATCAGACTAGTATGTCTCTTCGATCTACGCCTAGGCTAAAGTCAAATTAAAAGTTACATGCATATGTATTTTTTTTTTTTTTTTGTTTTGATGTCGAATATTTGCTTGACCTTTAGTTCATTGCTTGAAGATGGCTAGTTTCAAGATCTTCAAAGCATCATTTTTGTGTCGTTTATGTTTTGCTAAAATACATATGTATAAGGGTTGCATTTGGAACGAAAGAACGTATCATTCTACTATTTACGCTTACATAAATGCGACAAGAACAGTAGCAGCGGCAGCGACAGTGGCTGCCTCCTCTCACGGCATTGTCGCATGCTACCTGCCTGCACACAAAATTCACGCACACATACACGCATACGCACGATGACAGCTGCAGTTTTGTTGTCCTATGCCTGCTCTCTTGCAGTCGCTGCTCACTCCCTTTCTCGCTCTCTGCTGCTGAACAGCTGTTGTTGTCCTTTGGCGCGCTTTACAGCTACATTTGCTGTTCCTGCTTTGGCCTTTACATTTCATGTCTGGTGCGCTGCCTGCACAATTCGCATTCGCATTGCGCTCCTCGCACGCATAACATCAGACTCGGAGTGTAAGAATTTTTTTTTTCTTTTTTTTTTACTTTGATTTTTAAATCGAACAGGAAATTGAAATTGAAATTGTTTTTGTTTCAATCCAAATCGAAATATAAACGAAACTAATTGAAACGTGTTTCTATTGTAAACAGCAACCAGCAGCATTGGAAGAACAAAACTGTGTTGCAACGAGCATAAATAAAGAAGAAGCACAAGCAGTAAAACATAAACCAAAACAGCAACAACATGGCTCAGGAAGGACAGGATATGCCCACATTCAAGTGCGTGTTGGTCGGAGATGGCGGCACTGGAAAGACAACATTCGTCAAACGTCACATGACCGGTGAATTTGAGAAGAAATATGTTGCCACACTGGGCGTGGAGGTGCATCCATTGATCTTTCACACCAATCGAGGCGCGATCCGCTTCAATGTATGGGACACTGCTGGTCAAGAGAAGTTTGGCGGACTACGCGACGGCTATTACATTCAGGGCCAATGCGCTGTCATCATGTTCGATGTAACATCGCGTGTCACCTACAAGAACGTGCCCAACTGGCACAGAGATCTGGTGCGCGTCTGCGAGAATATACCCATTGTCCTATGTGGCAACAAGGTTGATATTAAGGATCGCAAGGTCAAGGCCAAAAGCATTGTGTTTCACCGAAAGAAAAACTTGCAGGTGAGTTGCTCATAGTCAAGCCCAGCCTCCAAATTGATATGTTCACTTTTTGATTCTCATAAGTCAGAGAAAATTAATGCATTAGACAGAGATGCAGAGAATGAGAATGAGAATGAGAGAGAAAATGCAGCATAGCGTAGAGCAGCCCAGACATAGATCGCAGAAAATATGCTTCACTTTAATACATTAAATATTTATAATATATAGACTTTTGTCTCTCTTATGCGCACTTAATATATATGTATTCACAGTTGTGGACGAATGAAAAAATGCATTCAAAATCAAATATTGTTAGCTTACAAAGTAGAAACCTCTTCTTGAATTTCTGTATATTTATACATTGTTTTCCCTTCTTTAAACAACTTGTCTAAATATCTTTAAATCGGTTTAAATAGAATCTGTTACCTTACTTGAAGAAAATATATGAGATATCTCCAGTCCACGGAGTATATATATATACATTTTTATAAACAGAAATCGGATCTTTTAAAGCAAGGTTCCTACAATCCATGAAGCATAATACAAGTCCGATTCAAAGAATCAGAGATGAGGTTTCCAAGGTCTATAAAATATAAATATATATGCGTATGCTGATAAATAGAAGTTAGATATTCTCAAAATTTGAGCAGTCGATAGCTTGTAGAGGTCAGGTCAGTTATTACCATTAAGGTGTCCGATTTCAATTCTTCTACTTAACATGCGCATCGAGAACGGTTTGTAATCGATAATTTTATTCGATTTCTTCTAGTACTACGACATCTCTGCAAAATCGAATTACAACTTTGAGAAACCATTCCTTTGGCTGGCCCGCAAGCTGGTCGGTGATCCAAATCTGGAATTCGTAGCAATGCCGGCGCTGCTGCCACCGGAGGTCAAAATGGATAAAGACTGGCAGTTGCAGATCGAGCGTGACTTGCAGGAGGCGCAGGCGACCGCCTTGCCTGATGAGGATGAGGATCTATAAGCATATTAGTTTACAATGAATTCAAAACAAAAGATTAAAAAAGATATAATTGAGAAAACCCCAACTTAAAAACTAAGAAAACAAAAATAATAAAAAAAAGAGAATAAACGGAAACTTTGGAAAGAACAAGAACAACAGCAGCAACCACAGGCTGAACAACAGCAACAAGAGCAAAAAGCGCAGTGCCGGGATTAAAATATAAGCAGTTGTATATCGACACATACACACACACAACACTCAACACACATACACATACAGCGTATTACAGTGTTGCATCCAAATTGTCATGTTGATTTATCAATTTGTTTGTTTTTTTTTTTTTTTTTTTTAATTTAAATTTTAATTTTTTGTTTCTCCCGTTTATTGTATTGGCTGGCTTTTTTGTGGCACGCCCACAAAATTATGTTTTAGCCAGAAGTTAAAAACAATAATGAGAAAAGAGAAGCATAAGCAAGGAGCAAGCCACAAAGCAGGAGAAAGAAGAAGAGGAGAAACCCCAATGCAAAATTAATTAAGCGAAGAATTGTCAGCGGCGTCAAGTTTTGAGCTTAGAGTAATTGTGAAATTTAGAAACCATTAATAGGTTACATTGCAACAACAAAGGCATTGACAACACAAACAACAACAAAAACAAAACAACAATAAATTATTGCGATTTAAATGGATGAATAAAAATAGCTAAGGCAAAATAAACTGAAAACAAAGAACTTGAATGAAATACGCCGAAACTTTTATTAAAGAAGCTTTTAAGACTAAGCACAATTAGATTGATTGAACGATGTATGTAGAACTAAAGTCAAAACCTCTAAACATTGCTGCTGTCTAGCTGTAGACTGACTGATTGATTGATTGATATGAACAGCAGGATAACTTTAACGAGTTAAACCCAATTTGCAGCACTCAAACTTGTATTTTGTTTAGCATTGAGCGCATATATGATTGATTGATAGATTCGGCGATTGATGAAGATTGTTAGCTTGATTGAAAGCAGCTCGAAGCGAGACTTGTGTAGTCCTCGCCTGAGTTTAGTTGTTGCCTGATTGATTGACAGCAATAGTCGGAGCACTTTTAACAGCAAACACGTCACTTGTATAACCCATACACATATTTCGTTTAGCACTAGGTTCAGTTGTCGCCTGATTGACTGATGGAGCTTGATTGCCTGTTCGAAAGAAATTGCCAGCGCACTTTGAATGATAAAAGAAAACGTTTATTGTATATTTCTGTTTAGCGCTAAGCACAATTGCTATTGTCTAGCTGCAGATTGATAACTTGATTGATTAATAATAGATTGATTGATGTAGACTTGCCGGCGCTGCGGTCTGTCTAGGGACACTTGACGCAGCAGGCGGGAAAGACGCCGGTGTAGCGCTGCTTGTTGTGGCAGGTGACTTTCTGGTCGCTGCATCTGTTGAATCACTCAGGTTAGTTCTAGGCACTGGACATATGTGTCTATAGATATATCTATTAGTCTGTACTCACTCCTCGACGACTGTCTTGAACGTGTCCGAGCAGATGGCGCGCTTCAGGCACTTGCCCTCCTTGCCGAAATCGACGTAATCCTGTCCCTTCTTCAGCAGCGGCAAATACTTGAGGAACACCGTCTCGTCCTCGGCGTTGCGGTACGTGCAAACGGGCTCGCTTACTGTAGAGAAAGAGGAGCAATATCCATTAGTTCGATGTGCTCGGATCAAACAGCTCAAACAGGCGTCTCACGTTTGTGCGACATCAGCATCTGCAGCATCAGCAGCACCAGCCCAACTATTGTCCAGATGTGACGCATCTTTTGTTTATTAGATCTTCGGATCGACTAAGCCCCATCGGCTCAACCTGTTTGCTATATATACCCCCAACTAAGTTCAGCAACTGATGCGCAAATTTACAATTCTAATTTGCAAAACAGACACGAAAAAAAAAAAACGCTTTCCAGCTGGGGCATTCGAGACTCGCAATGTGCGCTACAGAAAGCTTCCAGCTTATGCTATGAGTAGAGTACAAAAATTCTAATCCCACTGGCAATCGATTTCGAATCAATTAAGTATTTGATATGAGCAATTCATAAAATATATTTTAGCACAGCTCGAACCTGCGCACTCAAAGTCGATTGCTACGCATTTACTTCGCAGCTCTATGCGGACTCGAACCCCAAAGATTTCAATTTACCTCTCAAAATTTGATTCTAATTATAAATTATAATTAATTATAAATTTCTATTTCTTACTAGAATTCGAATATTGATTTTTTTTTCACTTTAAATTTGATTTGACATTTTCCATATTTCTAAAAATTATTTTTTTTTTACTTTTAATCTAACCTGAAAAAGTATTTGGGATTCTAACCAGAAAATTGATAAAACTTTAAGAGCACTTTCATAACTTAGCGCTAAAAATATTAAAAATAAAAATAACAAAAAAAAAAAAAAAAAAAAAAAAGTATGGTTCAAATCCCAGACCTTATATATTTTGAGTCTGTTTTTATAGTAGCTCCATTTGTATTTCAATATTTACTGTTTATATTATGCTCGAAATCTTGTAACAGATTCCAGTCTTATGATTCGAACCCGTGAATAAATTCGAGCCGGTTTGCAGCGCATTGGAAATATTAGGCCGTTGGTTCTCTGGCTCTGATTCGCCGGCACAATTCGCAGTTGAATTGTTTAATTGTTCACTATTTAGTAGGCTTCCTCTGCGGCCCCCTCGGCTGATGCACGGCCCCGGCTCGGACCCCAAAGTTCTGATTGAGTTAATTGCGTTTAAAGTTTTTTTTTGTACATTCCACTGAGCTGCCGAGTTGCCCTTAAAAAGCTTAGAAGTGCAGTCCATAAACACTAATTGAATGAGGAATACTTGAACTACTTTCGAGTTATAGATAAATAGAGCTGGCTTTCAGGGGGGTCCATAGCCGATGGCATGGGCCTGGGCATGGGCGACTGATGCAAACATTTCTCTTTAACGTACGGACTTCGGGAAGAGCCGACAATAGATCAGAGCCCATGAGTTGCATAGGTTACCCTTTGTCAATTTTATAAGATCTTAGAGCACATATAGAATGAGAGAAGTATGTTCTGAGCATATATTTTGTGCCACGAATATATCTGATTTGTCAGGGAAATAGTTCCAAAACTCATATATATATATATATATTTGATAATCGAAAATAATTATTTTAAGAAATTTATTTTAAAGTATTTGTAGGAGTAAAATATGTATATATATATATATATATATATATATATATTTATATAACCATATAAAAGCTATATATCATTGGAATCCGGTTTCTGGCAGATCAGCTTGGGGCAGCAATGTGGAAAAATGCGACGCATATCAGAGTCAATTTTACAGTTCTTCGTGGGTACCAGATTATGTCGACCGCAACTGTGGATAGAATGTGGAGCATATAGTAAAGAGTAACTCAGAGAGGGAGAGAGATACAGAGAGAGAGAGAGAAAGAGAGAGAGAAGTCAATGAAGTTTGGGTACATTAGTTAAAGTGTTTACTAGGTATATCTTTTAGAGGTGTTATGAAGAGGAAATGTAGATATATATACTGAAAATATATAGTTGAGTTATAGTAGAGCTATAAATCGTGGTCAAGAAATGAAAGGTATGATGCGTGAAGGAGATGATATTGGATATGAATATGCCTAGAGATGACTCTAACTAGAGGTTACGGGAAGTATATATATTTGTATAGTATGAGATATGGAGTATGACTATATATATATATATATATATATATATTTATCTATTTACATATCAGAGACTTACTAGCCAATCTCTAGCACATAGTCCGGTCGACAGAAGAAGGACTTGCAGTGACCCTCGCGATTGATGGGCTTATATGACTGATACTTGGGTATGGGCTGCTTCAATTCATCAAAGTAGCATTGTCCCGGGTAATCTGAGCAGATATTATTAGTTCCGTCTCTCTCACACACTCTCCCTCTCTCACCTGGATGCACGGCATTGGCGCGATATCCGAGATCGGCAGCAACGTGCGCATAGAGCAAGGCCAGCAGCAGCAGCATGGGCACTCCATAGTAGCCAATGCCCAATCCCGATCTTAGGGGTATTAACATGGCAAAGAGAAGAAGAAGAAGAAGAAGCAAACACAAAGCTGAAGCAAAGAGGCGAGGATAAAGTTGTTCAGCGGACGCCGAACGTGCGACTGAGTCAATTGCAATTAATTGTTGTTGCTTTTATATAAAATTAATTAATAAAGCTCAGCTGTATCTGTATCTGTATCTGTATCTGTATCTGTAACTGTAACTGTATCTGTATCTGAATATGGGGCACATGCTTCAGCTTTTGTCTTTCTTTTGTCACTTTTTTGCTTTTGATCTAGTTTGCATTAATTAAGCCCAAGCCGCCAGCCCTGAAAGCGAGAGTCCATTGCAGCGGGGGCGTGGGCGTGCAAACAAATCAACTAAATATACTACTTGAAAGAGTAAATACTTGGAGTCAGCTAGTGGGCATGCTCGACTAGCAGATACCCTGCCTGCTTCACAGGCAGAGTGGAGGGAGCTTATGGGAGGCCTCAAAAGCACAACTTAAACTTACCTTGTATACTAAGCTGCGCAGGAGCTAAATTAGCGGGCATGACCAACTAGCAGATACCCTGTTAAAAGGAACTGGCATCTGAAATCAGCACTGGTTGATTGCAAAGCAAGACAATTGGCTACCTACTAAATAAGAGCTGGCTAGAGATGAATGAATGGGGATGCTTGACTAGCAGATACCCTGTAAAAAGTTGACAAGTCTAAGCATTGACTGTTGCTGTAAAGTAGTAAGCTGAAAGATAACTACTATATTTAACTAAGCTAGAGCCAAGTAAGTGGGCATGCTCGACTAGCAGATACCCTGTTAAAAGTTAGAAAAGATTCTTAAGTCGACTCTCGTAATTATAAAGCAACACTAAAAAGGTAGATATATAAAAGTAAGCTAGAGATAAGCTTATGGGTATGCTCGACTAGCAGATACCCTGTTACGGTGCGACAGCTCGAAAGTACTTTAAGCATGCTTAGATAAAAAGGATAAATATCTGTAAGAAAATTTGCATAGAAATAATTTAAAGCCAAAATGGCTGTGACGAAAAAAAGGCTAAAATGGCTGCACTACTGCTGACCCAGTTGCTGTGGTAGGCTCAAAAAAATCTTATCAGTCTTATTTATATATATATTAAATTTTATTTAAATTTTATTATTAAATTTTGAATGGGATTTCCAAGTGCAAATGGGCATTGAGCAAACTATTCTGGCCTTGAAATCCGAAATTTTTATTGGAGTCGAAGCCAGAGCTGAAATTTAAATAAGAAAACAGAAATGAAGGCAGCTCTAAATTGGTATTTAGCTATAGATATTTATATAAGGCCAAGGCCTGTTGCAACGTTTGCCCAAAAACCAATATACCCCAATTCCAACGGACTTCAAACAGCAACAACAACATGGGAAATCCGTCTTTAATAACAGCTCGATGAGAGAATAGAAACATGGCTCAAACTTATTGTATGATTTGTAGCCATTTATCACCCGAACAATGTGAATGCATATATATAGATAGATATATATATATATCTAAATATATAGTATAGGTAGCGTTAATTGTGTTAACGGCAAAAAAGTTAATGAAACGCGAACTTAACGAAAGTTCTATGCACTTTAAATCGAAAGTGAGTAAACTTGAGAGTGTTATAGACTGAGAGAGAAAGAGAGAGAGAGAGAGAGAGAGATAATAGAAATAGTAATACAAGAATTTACATATATATAATAATCGATGCATAGCGATAAAGCTAAGATCACTCAGATTCATATGTAAATCTCTCTCTCTCAATCAGCCTTTCTCATTCTATATATCTTTGTTTCTCTCTTTAAATCTCTCTCTCTCAATTTGTATCTCTGAGTTTCTTACTCTCTCTCTCTTTGTTTGACATTCATTTCTACATCTTTTCGGATGTCTCTGAATGTCTCCAGCTCTATCCGTGCTCTTTCTCTCTCTCTCTCTCTCTCTCTCTCTCTCTGTTAGTTTCGCTTGCTGTGAGTCTCTATATGTAATTCTATGTCTCTGCTTTCGCTTCCTCTCTCTCTCTCTCCCTCTTCAACTCTCCTCCTCGCCTTTCCCTCTCTTCTCTCCCCCTCTCAATACTCTCCATAAACCAAAAGAAGCTGCTTCTAAAGAGTTAAACAAACACCACGGCATAGCCAATAGGCCAACACCCAGTGAGTACTACGAGACTAAACAATGTTGTGCTATGCACTACATATATATCAGAATATATACGACAGACAAACAAAAGTCGGAGAACAACAGACAAATTAAAACGGGAAGCAAAAAAAAAAAACACAATTTAAAGAGCTGATAAGTTGAGCTTGTGATGCTCAGTGTCACATCTGTTGCCTTACAAAGCGACGGTGCCCAGAAGCGAGTCGCTGCTCAGCTGGAACTTTACGATGCGCAAGCTGGAAGTGAGTTGGATTCTAATTGGAATATGGCTAATGCTAGCAGAAGCGCTGCAGGGCTTCAGCACGCAGTATCGTGGCAACACGAAGCATCCAAGTGAGTATAGAATACATAGAATATATCTCATATAACATATATATGTTTCTATATCCCATCAAGCGCTATCCGAGCACTGCTTCTATGCGGAACTGGAGTTGGCTGTGCCTCGCAATGGAACCGTCTTTCCCGTCGATCAATTTGACTTTTGCGCTCAGGTGTATTGCCGGGAGGACTACGTGCTCATGATTAAGCAGTAAGTATATCTATATCTATATCTATATCTATATCTATATCTATATCTATATCTATATCTATATCTATATCTATATCTATATCTATATCTATATCTATATCTATATCTATATCTATATCTATATCTATATCTATATCTATATCTATATCTATATCTATATCTATATCTATATCTATATCTATATCTATATCTATATCTATATCTATATCTATATCTATATCTATATCTATATCTATATCTATATCTATATCTATATCTATATCTATATCTATATCTATATCTATATCTATATGCATTTATCTATATCTAGATCTATATCTAATCTATAGCTATACTTATTATCTATCTATATCTCAATAATCTATATCTAATATCTATATCTATAATCTATATCTATATATCTATATCTATAATCTTATTATCTATATGCTATATCTATATCTATATCTTATATCTAGATCTATAGCTATATTTCTATATCTATATCTATATCTATTCTATAATCTATATCTATATCTATATCTATATCTATATCTATATCTATATCTGCAGTTGCGACCGCATGCAGTTGGCCGATGGCTGTCATTTCACGCCCAACGACTATACCAAGCCTTATCCGGATTGCTGTGCCACGCGCGTCTGTCCAACTAAATGATTTATCCAATTGGAGATTGTATATATATTAATATAAAAACACTTTTATACTCAACATAGACGGATTTCTGAATATGCTAACTGGATTTATTGCTCGGATTGGACAGAATCGAATTACAATTCTTTGAGCGTGTTCCAATTGGATTGCAATACAGTGTTAATTGGGGTTTTCCTATTTCACAGTTAGTTTGGCTAATAAGAGTTGAGGTAGACACATTCTAGTTGGATTGACAAGCAACTGGAATATATGTAAATTATCTAATCACAAGTTTTTTACGTTACCTTCAGTAAATACGGATATATTAATATTTAAATTAGTATGTTCCAATTGGTTATCAGATTGCATATGCTCTAATTGGATCAGGTAAAAAAATTACATGTAAATTGAATTGACACATTTAACTTAAAGTTAAGTGACAAGCGGTTGCCTCTTCCAATTGGCGTTTTATTGTCTGATTAGATGTGTAACGGACAACGCGGGCAATTGGGTAAAATTGAGTGTAAAGCTCGCTTGAGATTAGTTGGGAAACACTCAAAGCGGACACAGAAATGGGTACAAAAATAGATAGATAGATAGATAGATATACGCATATATGATCGTTGATCTGATCTGATCGTACAGAAGAAGTCCAATTGGAATGATTCGCTTTGTAAAAATATTTCTATGGGCGCATATACTTGAACTGATGCTATGGGATATAGTCATCCGATTCAAAGGCACTTGGGTCGAGTAACTGTAACTGAATTGCCAAATTGTGCCGACAGGTGGCTTCCCTACATACTATATATTAATATATAATAGACATAAAAACGTTTCAAAAATTAGTTTTCAGCTGCAATCGACTCTATCAGTGACTCGGCCGACCTCTGCGGAATCGTCGCACAGGTCAGCAGCAGCGCCAATCGATCTGATAAACTAGACACTATGTAGAGCTGATAGCCATAGAGCTATATAATTGCCATTGCTTTGGGGCAGAGAAAACAGTTTCAGTTCGAGATTTGCTAACATGAAGACGGAGACAGTTGTGCTGCTTATTGTGGTGCTGGGCGCCCACTCGTTGTTGGTGCTGGGCGGTAAGGCGTGGCTGGGCGTCTGGAGAGGATGTCAGCATTCTAATTGGAATCAATTCTTGCAGATTGCGCATTTGGCGGGCAAAATTTGAAGGTGGGTCAGAGGTATTCGCCGCCCGGACGCTGCACCGAGTACACTTGTCATACCGGCGGTGCCCTTACAGCCAAGACGTAAGCCAACTGTTCAACTTAACTTTTTTTGTATACCCTATAAAATATGTTTTGTCTCGATAGCTGCCCGTCGCTGGCCAGCCTAAAGCCCTGCAAGCTGGTCGAGGATGCCACACAGCCGTTTCCCAAATGCTGTCCCTACTTCGATTGTGAGCAGAATCTGCGATTATAATGCCTAAGCATTAACAAAAAGCCCAATAAAGGATATATAATATTCATTTTAAAATGTTTAAGTAATCAATGGGTCTGGCAACACGCTTCGCAACGATTACCACACCTCGATAAGTTATTTTGCTGCCAACAGAAATATACCAAAAAATATCGCGACACTAACTATCGTTAGAGCGCCTTACTCCAGATGACAACTTTTCGATAAGTTTTTGTCCAGTTTCGATACTTCTCCGTTCATTACATCTATCTAAATGTCATTTTGAATAAATCGGAACATACTAAAAAATAAATACCGATCTGGCAGCACGCTTTGCGCCAATTGTCGAAGCTTCATTTGCTTCTTTTTTTAAATTCGTAACGTAAATTGCTTTTGACATTTCTTTTAACAAGAACAGAACTAATTTTTAAATTTGTAACCGTGATTTTTTTTTGATTTTTAACAAAATAAATAATATTTACATTAAAATTATACCTGAAAAGTATGTATTAAGCGCAATCCATAAAGGTAAATTGAAAGATATATTTGTATATATTGCTTCTTTTGTTTTGTTTTATAAAAACCAAAAAAATCAGTTTATTCGATTTTCTGTTTGGTATACACGCTTGAACTTATACATATGCTCGTATATAGATATATCTGTATTTAAATGTGATTTGCAGACAGATCCAAATTCTATATAACAAATGTATATATGTATATATAGGCATCTATATCTAAAATATCTGTGCAATTTGTCCTGATGTACATACGTATGTATTTAGAGTGTCCTATTTAAAGCTGTACAACATCAACGTTTGGAACACACAAATACGCAGGAAACTTAGCCTAGACTTATGCATAAGAATATATATATATATATTAGAAAATGTGAAGCTATTTGTGGCCCGCTTCGTATCTGTATACATCCACATACATATGCATACATATACCTACATATATATTGTATATTATATATAACATACACATATATAACCTGAGCTAGTCTAAACATTTTTTAACTATGGTCCGACGGCAACCGATTTGCCAGCTTTGTAGAAATGAAGCAAAATAAAAGTTAAGAAAAAAGTAAGAAGCTCGTAGAATTCGCTATTGTTTAATAATGAAAAGTTATAATATAATAATAATAATAATAATATACTTTATAAATCAATGAAAGCATAATTTGTAAGTTAACGAGCGCAACTGATAACTCGTTACTCGTGTCTCGTTACTTTTTAGCAGGCATAGTGAAAGCAATATCATAGCCAAAATATCGACGACCTTAAGAATGCTGTCTTTGAAGCCGATTTAGTTACGGATCGCACTTGCTATAGACACTTCGGCATTTGCCTACGCATTCGTAGAAAATGTTCTGTGTCATTAGGAACAGCTTTCAAGAATCGTTCAGTCCTTGAAATTGTAGCGCAAATCAGAAAGGGAAAGGAAAAAAATAATAATAGTCTGGTCACACTTAAATGCTAGATTCCTTTTCACCATGCCCATGTCGCGTGCGTGTCTTGTGTAGTGCTGTGTAGTGTTTTTTCTTTTTTTTGTAGTGTAGTGTAGTGTAGAGCTTAATCGGGTGACTTCAGCTGCGGCACGCCGCACTCCTCTTCTCATTGCCGTGCCGCGCGCTCCGTTTCCATGAGGCACTCACGCACCAAAATCCTGGCATGCACAATGCCACGCTTCAGCCGCTCCGTCGAGCTGCGCGATCCCGTGTAGGTCGGCCGTATATCACGGCCCATCTCCTCAATCACGGCCAGCAACTGGGCGTACTTGCTCAGTCCATTGCTACCGATGCTGCCTGCTGTCGGCAAATTGGCAGTGGAGGTCAGTGGCGTGGTGATGTTGGCCGATGTTTGTGTTGTTACCACCACCGGCGATGTGGATGGTGGCGGATATTTTAGCTGGGATTGTGTGAGATTCAGACCAAGATTAAGGCTTACAGCATTCCCATTACCGTTTCCATTGCTGTTATTGTTGCTGTTATTGCTGCTATTGTTGTTGCTGTTGCTGCTGCTCGTGCTGGATAGATTGCGTCCATTGGTGGCCGCTGCAATGTTGGCCAGGGATAAGGCCGCCGCTGCTGCTGCTGCGGCAGACGATGCGGACGGCGTGGCAGTGGTGTTCGATTGCTTCTGCAGCAGCGCGAGCTGTGCCTGAAGAAATTGCGGCGAATATTGCAATGCGGCAACGGCAGCCGCTGCCGCTGCAGTGGCTGCTGCGCTGCTCGATGCATTTCGGTCACGTTTGCTGCCGCTGCTGACAGCGCTGCTGCTGTTCGCATAGTCACTGTTGCTGGCAGCGCTGCCACCGCCGGCGTTGGCGCCGCTGCGCGAATGATGAATAGCAGATATTTGGATTTGGGGCTGTTGTTCACGCTGCTCGCGCTGCTGCTGGTAGTTATAAAAGTTTTGCACCTGTGACCGCGGTATTGGTGTCACTGTGACGTCACTTAGCTTCGATTCGACAGCCTGTATGTCCATGATGTCCATTCTTCTGCTTCTGGTGGTGCTGCTGCTGCTATTGGTATTTGGCAAGTGTCAATCAATTGGTATTGAATGACATTTATTAAATCTCAGTTAGTACTAACCGTGTACGATTTGCAAATTACACGCGTTTTAAGTTGTGCACAAGTTTTACGATTTTCGTTGCAATAATTTACGCTTTCTACGCACAAACAAATCTATTGCAACCACCACAAACAAACTTGTCCACAGGGTTAGTATTTTCTGCTATCGGCTTATCGATATCTATTCGTGTATGCACTTGTCATTCCACAAAAAGTCGAAAAATACCAAAACATACTAGGCGTTTCGCTAAGCAGCTGTTGCGCTAAAAGTTAGTTGAATCGACTTATGTATACATAAAGAAAGATTATAGTTGCAAACATTACTTTTAAGTACTTGAAATTCAATTTTCAAGAATAATGCTAACTTTTGAGTAGTATGTATTTTATATATTTATTTGATTCTAACGGACAGTCGTGTGTGTCGGCGCGCCAGTGCTGTAAAATACATGCAATGACTGGCTGGCACTAAAAGAAGAGAAAGAAAAAAAAAAAACAATGGCGAAGCAAACTCTGAACTAAAATTCTGTTGTTGACATCTGGTCGCTTTGTAAATTTATTTCGAACACACTCTTGTGATATCTAGTTGTGATTAACTCCAAAAAATATTTTAAAAAACTCCTTTTAGTAATTTTATGGATTGTGCTATTAAATAGTTTTGAAGACGAAGCAGCGCGTGTGTTCAAATCAGCGAGTGTGTCGAGGTGAGCGTATATTACACGTTGTATTAGGTGCAACGCCATCCGCCGCCGCCGTCTCAGAAATAGCAGAAGTTTTGCAAAATTACAATTTCATTTCCGCGTATATGAAAGATATGTTGTGTATGTGTATATATATATGTATGTGTATGTATGTATGTGCATGTGCATGTGCATGAAAGCCCTGATAGCCTGTGAAGCCAATGTCTTTCGCTGCTGTCAATATGTATGTGTGCGAATACGAATGTTTTTCTATGTGGGAGCCGCAGCCGTCAGCTACTGCATGACGTAAAGCTACTGCTGCTGCTGTGGCCGCAACAACAGCGTAACAAGACATACATTTATATGTATGTATGTATGTGTAATTAACAACGTAAAGCTGCTGGCATTGATTAGCGGCTGTTTTGAGTGTTTTTGGCACTTTTACACGCGCCTTATATGCATATATGCAGGCATGCCTGCATGTGTGTGTGTGTGGAAGTGTGCAAGTTACATATGTATGTGGTGCGTGTGAGTTTGTGTCACTGTCGCTATGTGCCGCATACGTTAACAGTGTTGCACAACGCCGCTCTAAATGCATGCAAAAATAAAATCGGCGCACAAATCACAATTGGGCAAAGCCTAGCAGCGCGTCGCTGCACATTTATTGATACATATATATATATAATCTATAAATCTGTGTGTATATGCGAAAATGCATATGTTTGATTTTGTTGCTGTTATCGATAGCGAAGCGACAGTTGGACATTTGAATTTTGTGTGAGCACGCACACACATATACACATGCAAAGGCACGCTGAGCGACGCCGTTTATTTTGCGACCTCGACATAGAAGAAGCCAACGCCAAAGCCAAAGCCAAAGCAGTAGTCGTCATTCCGTAGCAGCGGTAGCAGCAAGGCGGCAAACAGCAACAGCAGCAGCCATTTTTGATATATTGCTGTCTCGCTCTAGCATTTCGAACGTTGTTATTTGATTTTTAGTTTATTGTTGTTATTGTTGTTGGAAACCAGGCAGCAGTAGCAGCAAAAAACTTTTTGTTGATGTGAGTAAGCGTTGACTGCACTGTCAGTGGAGCAGCGCGCAGCAAACGCCATTTGACAATTTGCCTCACTTACAGACTTTTGTACGACCGAACACAGAAGACAGGCAAAATAAAAAAATTAAAATTAGAAAATTTATAATTGGTTTTTAAAATTGATATTTCGTATATGAAACAGCTTGTGAACGGCAAACGGTAACGGGACTCCGATCAAGTTATATATTTTAATATATAAATACGATTTTATTTGCATGTGTATCTATATATTTATTTATATATATATATATGTATGTGTGTAAATATTTGTTAATATCAATATGTATTTTTACAATTATAGAGAAAGAGAGAGAGTGAGTGAGAGGGGGACACACACACACACACAACACAACACGGATCAGGATCTGGATTTGGGTTTGATTCAACATAAACAACAACAACAACAAGCAACAGCAACATCTCTAAATCCAAGCGAGGTCTTTCTAAGCCTGAGCAAGTATTAAATACAGAAAAACAAAAAAAAACACCATCAACCACAACAATAATAACATCATCAATGGATATGATCAACATTGGGCAGAGCGTTAAAATCAAACGCACCGATGGCCGCGTCCATGGGGCTGTTGTATCCAAATTGAATCCATCGGCACGCTGCATCACCGTGGAGTGGTATGAGCGAGGCGAGACGAAGGGCAAGGAGGTTGAGCTGGAAGCCATACTCTCTTTGAATCCAGATCTGACCATGGGCGATCCGAATGAAATGCATCACACAGCCCCAGAGCCCAAAAAGCAGGCAACGGCCCCCAACAATCTGTCTCGCAATCCCACACAATCGGCCATTGGCGGCATCGGTGGTGGCGGCGGCGGCAGTAGCGGTGGCAGCTCAACGGCGCGAATGACCATGACCGGCACACAGCTGAACAAGATCAGTGAGACGAGCAATCGTGAGCTGGGTTCACAATTGGGCAACAGTCAGAGCGTTGGCAATATGACCGCCGCCTCTGTGGCCGCCATTAGCAACAACAGCAGCAGCGTCGGGGCCGCAGGCAGCGGGATGATGCGGCCACGCTATGCGCACATGCAGCTCAATAGCAATGCACAGACGCGCATCGCATCGGCGGTGTCCAGCAGCAACAACAGCAACAACATTATGAATGAGCGAACATCAATAACAGGAACAACAGCGGCCGCCGCAGCAGCCGCAGCAGCGGCAGCATCAGCGAACACAACAAACAATTCAAATAATTCGACGGCAGCTGCAGCGGGCGCTCGACGCAGTCACGCCTTGAAGGAGGTGGAACGGCTGAAGGAGAACCGAGAGAAGCGTCGCGCCCGACAGGCGGAGATCAAAGAGGAGAAGGTAGCCCTAATGAACCAGGATCCGGGCAATCCCAATTGGGAGACGGCGCAAATGATACGCGAATACCAAAATACCCTGGAATTTGTGCCGCTCCTCGATGGTCAGGTGGTCGACGATCATCAAATAACGGTTTGTGTGCGCAAGCGTCCGCTCAGCCGCAAGGAGCTAAATCGCAAGGAGATCGACGTCATATCCGTGCCTCGCAAGGATATGCTCATGGTCCACGAACCGCGCAACAAAGTCGATCTAACCAAATTCCTCGAGAATCACAAATTCCGATTCGACTACGCTTTCAACGACACATGCGACAATGCTATGGTCTACAAGTGAGTACCGAATCCATACCATATAAATTTATATATACGTATATATATCAGCAATATATATATAGAGTATATAGTATGCCATATTCTGAGCTTTTCAATTTAAATCATTTATTTTGAGGTTTTTTTCATAGATTGTTTTATATTATATATGAATTCAATGCCTAGATAAAATTCCTACAATAGAGACTTCAAATGGCTTTAGTTCAAGCTTATTATTATATGATAATGAAGGTTAAATATTTGTAAGTTGTTAAAATTTTTTATATAATTTGTTTTATTTAAAGATAAACTAATTTTCATTTAAGCCTCAGACAACATAGGTAGGTGATAATATTTACAATAAGTTTTGAACATCTTGTTGCAATTGTCTGACATATGCGTTTCCATGCCAAAGTTTCTCATTCAATTGAAAGAGATATACATGTAACTTTCTGGCGCATCGGATTCAATATAGCAGCACATATGGTTGCCATAGAAACCATCTCGAATTCCCTCTGATATACAAAATTTCCATTGATTAATCATATACGAGTTCAGATATGAAAACAGATTTCGCTTGATCTGCGAAATTATTTGCTTTTGCTCTGAGGTTAGCATATGTGATGTCTCGCTTTGTCCTGAGGCTGTCCTTGTCTAGCAGATGGCAAGTATTTTGAACAGCTGTGCGTTCTTCTTATTGTAACTGTAGTTGTTCTTGTTATTGTTGTTGCGTTGGCGACACATGAAATGCGCACAAGTTCAGCTCAATAGCAACAGCAACTGACTCACAGAGCGATACACACACATGCAAACGTGTCACACACATGCACACGCGCACGCACACTTACACACACTTGTTTAGAGGCGCGCAAAGTTAAACCGTTCGCTCCCGAAATAGCCAAGTTGTGCCAATCTTGCTGTTGTTGTTGTTGTAGTATTTCTTCTCGTTGTTGTATGTATGACTAAACGCAAAAGGCGGCTCCATCTGTTTAGTCTGTCCGTCTGTCCATTTGCCCGCTCGCTCGGTCATTCGTTTTGTGTTTCGTTTCGTTTAAATTCGCCTCAATGAACTTGGCCGCGTCTCAGCTTTGATTTCTCATCGAAGAGGTGAGCAAAGCAACTGGACACGGGACAGGGCATATTGGGTTGCTTCAGAATTGATTCGCATATTACTGCGTTGCTATTGTATCAATTGCTGGACAGCGTATTGCGCAGTCAGCTACACATACATTTACTTGGTGTTCTTTTTGTTTTCTTTTTATCTTTCTCATTTCAAAAAGTAACCGTCGCCGTAGCATTTTTTTCACAAGTGAATGAATTGAAGCTCATTTCTTACTCGGTATCTCTCGCTGTCCCTGTCGCTCCTGGGCGGATTAAATGTGTTTTAGGTTGCTGCTGCTTCGACTGCCGCCGCCTCTGCCTTTGGCTCACATTTCTAATGCTGCTTCCTTCCGGCTTTTTGCGCATGAGTCAATGGCACTAAAAACTGCTGCGCCACGTAACTAAACAACGGGGAAATTTAATCATCGAATTTGATAAGCAAAGCTGTGTGTGCATAGGCTCATGCAGCTGTTTATGCGTGTGCAAATATATTAATTATTTAATTATAGCCACAAACCACATTACGATATTGTATTATATAAATATAATTATTGATTATAGTTAGTTTCTACTTAACTATAATAACCTTCTTGTAGCTTAAATTGAAGAATAGCATAAATTCGCAAGGCCTTCAATTCGTAGTATTGATAACATTATCATGGAATAGAAATCATATATTTTCCAATTAACAACTTGTTAATAGTATCGATTGCTTAATGGATTGTTTTTCATTGCTTAAAACATCACACTCTGTTTCCAATACAAATGATTTTAGAGGTATATTCATATATATCATATTCCATTAATTGTTGTTTCAATTGGATTCTAATTGAACGAAATGTAGATCAAATTCTTTCAGCTTTATAAATTGTAGATCACAGGATTAGTTTATGCAGAGCAAGCTTTACGCAGACTTAACGAATATAACTTGACGAAGGCAGACTTAATAGTATATTGTAGGCGACAGCTTTTTGATTACGATGTATGCTTGGCTAGAGTTTAATATGAACTTAATGAACTCAACGAAGTCAAAACATGTTGAACGTTCTCTAATCATATATATTTTTTGAATTAAATGAATTATTAATTAATATTGAATGAAAAATATATATAATTATACTAAAACATCTCGACGCTTACCTCTATTACTCAGATACACCGCTAAACCTTTAGTAAAGACAATTTTCGAGGGGGGTATGGCCACGTGCTTTGCTTACGGACAGACTGGATCGGGAAAAACACACACGATGGGAGGTGAATTCAATGGCAAGGTGCAGGATTGCAAGAATGGCATCTACGCAATGGCTGCCAAGGATGTCTTCGTCACACTCAATGGACCCCGTTATCGCTCACTGAATTTGGTCGTTTCGGCCAGTTTCTTTGAAATATACAGTGGCAAGGTGAGCACATTTCGAATCTCTAACAGATCTGGATGTTAATACATTTGAAATTGCTTCGGGACAGGTCTTTGATTTGCTGGCCGATAAGCAAAAGCTGCGCGTCTTGGAGGATGGCAAGCAACAGGTACAAGTCGTTGGCCTAACCGAGAAGGTGGTCGACAGCGTCGAGGAGGTACTGAAACTCATCCAGCACGGCAATGCGGCGCGAACATCCGGCCAGACGTCGGCCAATTCAAATTCATCGCGTTCGCATGCCGTATTCCAAATTGTCTTGCGTCCCATGGGCAGCAGCAAAATCCATGGCAAATTCTCATTCATCGACCTGGCGGGCAATGAGCGTGGTGTGGACACATCATCGGCGGACCGTCAGACCCGCATGGAGGGTGCCGAAATCAATAAATCTCTGCTGGCATTGAAGGAGTGCATCCGTGCGCTGGGCAAACAGTCGGCGCACTTACCATTTCGCGTCTCGAAGCTGACGCAGGTGCTGCGCGACTCGTTCATTGGCGAGAAGAGTAAGACGTGCATGATTGCCATGATATCGCCGGGCTTGAGCAGCTGCGAGCATACGCTGAACACGTTACGCTATGCGGATCGCGTCAAGGAGCTGGTGGTCAAGGATGTCGCCGAGATCGGGCATGGCGACTGTGAGCCCATCGACATGGACGATGAAGAGGAGGTGGAGGAGCAGCAATTGGCCGACCATGGCGTTGTTAATCTGGCCCAGCACTCGTCCCATCATCATCACCATCATCAGCAGTCGCTGCAGCGCGGCCACAACAACAACAACAACAACAGCAAGAACGGAAATGGAGCCAACATGGATCTGGCCATGCTTAGTTCGCTGAGCGTAAGTATTCCCTTCCAAAGTCTATTCAAATTTTGTGAAACCAGCTGGCGGCCTGGCCGACTTGCATGCCCCCTGTTAGCTGCTTCTTCTTCATTCTTTACTGTATATATATTTAGATATTAAGCATAAGCGAATTGTATTAGGAATATGTGATATTTGAAGCCCAATTCTAGTTGATCAGTTCCCTATGTTAACTGTGTATCTATTGCTAAGTCTCACTAATGCCCGCCAGATGGCGTGACACTCGTATTATATATTTCATAGTATTGTTATAGTTTCGGCTATAGTATATAGAAAGCTTGACTTAAAACATTTTAGATCTATAAATGCTAGAATCCAACTCATTGAAATTTTTAAATTTCCGCCAGATGGCGTCACAGTCTATTGAACGATTCATAGAATCGAAACTCCTGCTAGACCCACATTTTTCTTGTTGACTTATATTTTATATTCCTCTTACATTTTATTAACGCCAGATGGCATATCTTTATGCAGTTTTCCCTGTTAAGAAAAGCTTAGAAACCGGCTGGAATCGTCTTTTAAATTCGCCAATTTGCCGCCAGATGGCGTATTAATTGATTGAATATTTTTTAGAAAAACATTTCTTAAATAGAACGCTAATTGTACAGTAATACCTGATATCCCATCCCAGGTAAACGCGCTTCATTGAATTAATGAAATTACTAACAATTTCCGCCAGATGGCGTGGCAGTTCTTTGAGTATTGTATTGATAGAACTCTGGAGTTATGTTACCTTGTGGATATATATATATATATATTTAATTGATCGATCTCTAATTAAGCGACATACGAATTTACAAATTTCCGCCAGATGGCGTCTTAGTCTATCCCAATGCTATATGACACGAGTCTAGTTAGTGCTATGATCTTCTCTTGTAGCTTTCATTGCTGTTCATTTGGAAAGTACTTGTGCTAGCCGCCAGATGGCGCATTCAGCGGGCTCCAAATCTAGCTGGAATTGTTCTGAATTGTGTTTCTTAGCCAATCTAGTTAGCCAAATGTGTCATAAGGAAACTGAAAGATCTTATATATGTAGTTCAGTCGTCAGTTAGTCGACATATTTTAGCAAGTTTATAGCATCAGCTCTCTTCCTCTCTTGCTTTCTCTTGCTCTCTCTCGTTCTCTTTGGAATTGTGCGTTAGGAATTCGAGTTCTTCAGCTAACTTTATATTCCTCCTGTGTGCGTGTGTGAGAAAAATTGCGTGCGTGCGTGTGTGTGTGGACAACGCCACCAAATGCAGCGCACGGCCAAGACGAAGTTGCCCCACGGCCCGCTGCAGCCTGGCGGCAACAGCAATCGCATGCTAACGCTTCAGTCTGGACGAGCTGGAACTGGTGCAGGAGCTGGAGCTGGAGCTGGAGTGAGGTCCGGCAATGTAAAGGTGCTCGATGCTGGCAGGAAGACGCAAGTGCCACAGCAGCCAGGCCTGGAGGTGGTCCGTGCGGCAGCTGCAGCAGCCGCAGCCAAGCAGCGTCGTAGTGCAGCAGATGCAGCTGCCGCGGCTGCCGCACGGGGCACTAAACGAAATACGAGGACCGGCGTGGACGCCAGCAAACAGGCAGCCAGGATCTACGGACGCAGCTGTGCAGGAGCAGCAGTGGCTGCAGCCAGCAGCAGCAGCCAAAACAAAAACATCAACAGCAGGCAGCAGTCGAGCTGCGTGCGAGAAGCCAAGCCAAAATGCTGTCGCAGCTACGAGGTTTATGCCAAGCAGTCGACCAAGAAGCCGCCAGCCGCGAGGAAGCCAAGGGAACACAGTCCAGATCTGGACTACGCTCAGCCGGCTGCCATTGGCTCGGTGCAGGTGCTGACCCAGCCACGCCGTGCTCACGATACGCCGGACAGTTTCTTTGTGCCGCTGCTGCAGCAGGCGGCGCCGCGGGACTTTCAGCTGCTGCGTCCGGCCGGGCAGCGCTATCGCCAGAAGCTGCAGCGTGATCGGCGCGCCAGCGAGCGCAGCCGGGCCGAAATGCGCGAATTGGCTGCGGCGACACGCACGCTGCTGCCGCAGTGGCTGCCGCTGGACGAAGTGGTGCCGCCGCCGCCGCAGTTCGCCGACAGCGACAAGGAGCCGAATGCCTGGAGGTATCGCATCAATCGCACCGACACCGTGACTTTGTGCAACTTTCCAACACTGGAGCGGCAGCTTTTGGTGCGCGAATACGCTGGACATCTGCAGCCCTAGAGGATGTGTGTGTGTGTGCGTGTGTGTGCCTGTGTGTGTGTAGATGCATTCATCTCTGTAAAATTAGTTTCCATTTAGACATGTCGCGTCCGCTTGTCACTGCAAACGCCTCTTGAAGATTAGCCTAGGCTAGGCGCAGCTCTGTCTGTACCTCTTTCCCTTCCCCTTCTCCTTCCTCTTCCTCTTCCTCTTGCCCACTCTCATAATTGCCTTTCTATCGCTAGATACGAAGCCGCGCTAAGCCGCTTAAGCCGATGCTTCATCTTCAACTGCCACGCAGCTCAGCCGCACGACGTTAATAACTATCGAACTATCTCTATCTATATATATATATATGTATCCATGCGTATGTATATATATATACATATATATATATATCTGTCTGCCAGCACCATCACCACCTCTTGATATGTGTGTATGTAAATAGAGATAATAATAGCAAAGGCATACAACAAAATTGGGTGATCTAGTATGTATATATATATGTATATATATATATATAATATATATTTATATATGTATATGTATATATACACAGATGTGTGTCACACATATTCATATATATATATATATATACATATATATATATATATATATATATACATATATATATATATATATATATATATCTATTTTATATAGCAGTTTAAGCTAATCCATTCAAAATTCTGGAGGGGGAACAAGCGCACAAGCAGAGCCCAACAAAAGTCTGACCCAAATCTGAATATATATATATATATATATATATATATACTCGATATACATATATATATATATATATATATATATATATATATATTTCTTTATGCAGCGAATGTTAAATAAAATGTTTCGATTATGATAAACCGAAAAGATTGGCATTCATTTCATCCTTAAGGCTTAGTTCTAGTTCAATTTGAGATAGAGCTAGTTGCATTCCAATATATGTGTATATCTGTCTATCATCTGTATATCAATATCGCTTGTTAAATGGATTTTGCAGGAACATGAAATGTCGGAGGAGCTGATCGTACAGCATCAGGCGATCGATGATCTGCAACAGACCGAGGAGATGGTCGTTGAGTATCATCGCAGCGTGAACGCCACTTTGGAGACTTTCCTAGCCGAGTCGAAGGCCTTGTACGACTTAACCAATTACGTGGATTACGATCAGGATGCGTATTGTAAGCGGGGCGAGACAATGTTCTCGACTCTATTAGATATTGCCATACAGTGTCGCGATATGATGGCCGAATATCGTGCCAAGTTGGCCAAGGAGGAGATGTTGTCCTGTAACTTTAAGCCAACCAACAAGCGTTAAACACAGCACCAACAGATACACCGAACAGCAGCAGCAACAATAACAACAACAATAACAAAAGGAGTCAATTGCTATGCCAGTTTTTTAAGTATTTTTATTTCTGTGTTTTTTTCGCAACTTTGTAACGCCCCGAATTAATTTGTTTTCCAAATTTTAGTCATTAAATATTCTAGCTGGCATATGTAGTTGTTAAATAGGCACACACACCTACACACATACACACACACACCCCCGTTAACTAAAGCAACCTTTCATAGCTGCAAAACAGACATTTTTGTTTTCGTTCCATTTTAATTTTTTTTAAATTATTTGAAATTTTGGGGCATTGTTTCAACTGCACAACAACATCAACATCAACATCAACATCAACAACAATAATAAAAAGAAAACAAAAAAATACTTTTAAAGTCGAAAATCGAATTTTGCATTCATTTGAATAAACGTTAAAGACTTCACGCGTTATGCAACACTGCACACTTAACGAAGACGCGCTGCAACCAGGACAGCCAGCAGCAGTATTTGGTTCATCGTTTCTTTCGCTCGCTCTTTGAATACATTTTGCACGCGCTCTCCCTCACACACACACACACGCACACGAACACACACATAAATAAATATCATATATTAAATATGCACAGTTTATATATTACAACAGCAGCAACAACAACTAGAACAAAATGCAAGATGTGTTTTTTTACTCTATCAGTTTGGTGTCCGAGAAAAAGACATTTATTTTATACACAAAAAAAAAAAAGAAAAACAAAAGCAAATATATATAAATAATATAAATATAACTATAAATATAAATATATATATATAAAATAATACTAAAAGTGAACATTTCCTAATATGAGATTCCATTCATTAATTTTCCTGCTGTCTGATTACATTTTACAACTATTTAATAATTACACATTGTATTTATTTAAAAAAAAAAAGCAACAAAAAACAACAAAAAAATGGCCACAAACTGTATTTAATTTGTATTAATTTATTTAAAAATAACAAATCGCACCAAAACCAATTTACGTATTGCTAAAAAATATTTGTTACTTCAATTAAACATAAACAAAAAACAATTTATGTCAACTTTATTTTTTTTTAACATATATTTAATTTCCTTTTTTTTTGTCTTAGTTTTAGTTGCAAAGAATTTACGAAGACGTCAATTTTTCCAGTCGATCTTCAGCTTATCTATGAAAAAAAACCCTATTGTAACTCTCTCTAAATAGATCTATTTAAGAAACGACTTTGGCGAGAAACGTAAAGAAAAAAACACTTTAAGTGCAGTTGAGATTGTTTTTTTTTTTAAATATTTTTTATGCATTTCTTGTTTAGCATTTTAAAGTTATTTACTAATATTTATTTTATATTTAATGCTTATCTAACAAAGACGATAAAAGACACTGAAAACAAAAAAAAAAAAAAACAAACTAAAATAAAATAAAATAAACTGCAAAAGATATATAGAAACTTATGTGGCAGATCTGTTGTAGCTTAACCAAAATCGCCCGCCCCAAAAAGCAAAACTAAAAACATATTTAAACAAATTAATTAAATTCTGTTATTGATGGCATTTCTCTCTAAGAAAATGGGCAAAAACAGGTCCTACTTACTATAAATATAAAGTATGAAGAATGAAAATGGTATAACTAATCGTATTTTTTTTAGACTCCGCAGAAAACTTGTTTTAAACAATTTAAATAAAAAAATTAAAAAAGTGTGCTTCGATATTACGCAGTATAGAAAGAAAAAGAAAAACTAAAACTAAAACTTAATTTAAAACGTTAGGCATCTGACTCTAATAATGTATTATTAAATATAAATATTAATTTATATTGTAATAAAACTGAATGTAAACAAAAACGAAATTGTTCTTCAAATTTCTTCTCGCTTCAGATGGGTATTCCAATTGGAAAGTCTGCGGGGCTTTGAAACGGGCGCGAAGTGCTTTAGTGTTGCACAACGCTTCAATAGTAATCGATATTTGCTATCATTCATACAAATGTAGCTTACAAATATTTATGCATATAAATGCTTAATACATGTAAAATATACAATTTATATGCATATTCTATGTATATATTTATATAAATTTATTCAAAATCCAAATCGATTATAAATGCGCTTTGGTTGCAGTATCTTTACAGTATTTTTCGATAGGCGATAATTGTAGATTTTTCTTGAGCATTTTTACGCCTTATGCATGCGGTCACACTGTTGACGTGCAGTCGCAAAAAACTTTCGTTGTGTTTTGGTCTGGTCGTTGCCGTCGCGTTGCGCGTTTCGTCCATTCGTATCTGCTGTGTGTTTATTTTATTCGCGTGCGCAACAACAACAACAGCAGTAGCAACAACATTTAGCGTTCTTTATTAAATTGTGTTAAGCTAATAAAAACAGTGTTCAACGCACGTCTTTTTTTAACAGTTGCTTTATTTTTTCGTGTGCGACAATAACCGGTGCAGAAGCAAAGCAAAAAAAAAAAAGATTTGCAATCAAAATATACAAATACGAACTACGAAATACTCAGCAGTGGGTGACAAGTGCACAAATAGGGGTTGCAAATTTTTCCAATACAGGTGCGAGAGAGAGAGAGAGAGCGAGAGAGAGATTGTGTGTTTTTGCCGTGGAAGTTGGCCGTAACAAAAACAAATCGTAGCTTCGTTCTTCTTCGCCAGGCACCTAAATTGAAGAACTCCCCCCACCCCCTCGATCCTAGTCGGCCAGCAAGCAACCACCCAGCCACCCCCTCTCAGCTGCGTGTGCCGCGTGCCATGCGTGACCTCGGCACCAAAATGGCCGAGCTTAAATTTGAGGCTCCACTGGCGAAGTTTGAGGAGACGGATGAATGGGGCGGCTGCGATTTCATTTCCAATCAGAATGCACTAAATGACACGCTGAACTTGAATCTCAGCTCCAATCGGAATCAGAAGGATGGCAACGCCAAGCAGCAGCAGGACAAGCTGCGCCTGCTCGAGGATGCTGTGCGCGATGCGCACATCAGCAAAAATGGTGCAGTGGCAGGTGGAGCTAGCCCTGGCAGTGGCGTTGGCGCTGAAGCTGGTGGCAACATTAGCCCCAATTGCAATACGCAAAACCTTACGGAACTGGGCTTGATCGACGCCCCGGCCGCCGGCCAGGATAAGCGGGGCGGCGACAATGTGGACAACTTTACGGAGACTTTTGGCGGCAGCCTCGAGGATCTGGTCAATACGTTCGATGAGAAGATCACCAAATGCTTTGGCAACTACGAGGAGAACGTCGAGGAGCTGGCACCGGTTCAGGTGCGCAGCCAGGAGGAGATCATGAACGAATGCCAGTAAGTAAACCAAGTCAGTTTATCCAGATCGAACCGTTGTTGAGCTTTACACCTAAAAGCGGCCACTGGAAAGCTTTGGCATTAAATTAGGCGCTTCAATGGGTATAGGGAGAAGCTGGAAGACCAGATTAACTGGAAGAGCTTGGAAGCTGGAGGAGTAAAGAATCTGACAGATCAAAGAAGCTTAGAAGATTCGATGGAAGCTAAAAGAGAGACAAGTCTGGAATAGTTGATATGCTGGAAGACAGAAAGAGCTTTCAGAGTTTCAAACTTAGCCTTAATTGTCAGATACTTCCTCAAGCTTTAAGCTTTGATAAAGATTGGAGCAGCTTCCCAGAGTTGACTTCCAGTTTTCCAATGCTTGGAATCTACTCAAGCTGAACTTGAAGCTCTAAGCTACTGAAAGCTTAAAGCTACTCTTATGCAAAGCTTTTTTTCAAGCAAGTCCTCAGATTTGATTGTGATGCGTTTGCTATCTAATTTAAAGCTTTGCTTACGAGTTAAAGCCCAAATATGTCTTAAAGCTCTGGATTTCATTAGCTTTTTTGGTCTAAACTGAACCGGTTTGCATTCTCTCCCTCTCCCTCTCTCTAATATATGTTAATAAAGTTACATAAAATGCATTTGGCTATGTTTTTGACATTTGGACAAGGCGCATGCGCCAGCTGAGCAACCCCTCGGTCCCTGTCTGAACCAACCCTGGCGCCAAATAACTACGTAATCCTGTCGACAGGGGGTGGGCGGCAGCAGACGGGGCGAAGCACCATTGTTGGATCGATAAAAGACTCCGACTGTGTTCCTCTCTCTCTCTCTCTCTCTCTCTCTCTTACTCTCTTTGAGCACTTCCATCTCGAGGCATTTGCTGCATCCCAATTGAATGAATGGCAACCCTTGACCAGCGTCTAAGCGGAAGCGCAGCCCCAATCCCCTTTTATCAAAACAAAACAATTCAATGATAAGTTGAGTGGGGCCGAAGGGACGGGGGAAGTCGCAATCAGCGCTTGTCAAGCAAAGCAATTGCAAAAGCTGAAATTGGCTTCGTTTTCCAGTGCGTAGATCATAAATCATAACAACAGTAGAAGCAGCGATGTTGACGTCGACGTCGGCGTCGGCAGCTGAGTTGACCGTTGATAAAAAGTACTCGTAAGTGCATTTGCCTGGAAAGCTAAGAGAGCAGGAAATGCATGCAGCGCCAAATAAGTGGAAGAGAGCGGGAGAGCAGCTGAGCGAGTGCTGCCACTGTGTCAGGCTAAGTGTTGTTGTCGCTGACATCAGTCAATAAATTTGATAATCAGCTGCAACTTAACGAATCATTCGCTCTTTTCGTTAGTGTGTGTGTGTGTGTGCGTGTGTATCAATTAGTGCAAACGCACGCATGCACATACATACATATTCATGAGTGCAAACAATGAATAATGTGTATAAATTTATAATGATTCTACTGCACGCAAATCTGAATGCAAATCGTTGGCAATCAACAAAACAAATAAAAACACTTAAGCACTTTTCATCATGCCGTTTTCTTCACTGATTTAATGAGTCGTTTGCATTTTGTTTTGGTTAGTATAGGTTTGATATGTCTCACCATACGGCAACTATTGAATATGAGCCGCACTCACACTCCCCCTCTCTATTGCTTTCTATGCCATTCTTTTTGACTTCTTGTTTTTCATTTTTTTTTATAAGCTTCCCACGCCTGGTTAACATTAGGCGCTGAGAGCGCGCACCCTTTGCCCTCACACTCGCACTCACAGTCATGCCGCTGGCGCATTGCACTGCTTTAACTGCTTTGGTTTTTTTCAGCAGCAGCTGTGCTGCTCTCACTGTTACGCACCGCGTATAGTGATGCAGCGTGCTGTGTGAATGCTTCGCTGCTTAACTTACTGTTATTGTCAGCATTATATTTCTTTTGTTTTTGTTCTTGTTTACCTGCGCATCAAGTGCGTCAAGTGACGTACTGCAAGCCAAGCATTTTGTCAATGTTTACGTTAACTATTACTAAAAATATGCTCTCTCTCTCTTGCTTTCAGTCGTTCTGTTTTGAACGAAGGTCGAGCATTGTCTTTGCTCATGCATGTGTGCATGTGCATGTGCATTTGCATGTGTGTGCGTGTGCGTGTGACATTTGACGAAGGTCTCATCCAAGTCGAGTATTTTCTGCGCCGAAAGCTGCTGCTGTCGATTCTTCTTCTTACTATTCTTCTTCTGTCTCGCAGCATTTTTTACATTTACGTTGTTGTACCGCAACAGCAACACGCTTAACGCTTTGGTAACTCTACACAGGCGATAAAATAAATAAATAACAAGAACAGCCGCAACGGCAAAGGCAACGGCAACAGCAACATTCGCGGCTCGGCAAACTTTTTGCGGCATTTTTGCGTCGCAATAGCCACAGCAACAACAACAACAACCGTCTATACTGGGCGAGAGGCATGACTTAGAAAAACACACTTGAAAATCAATTAACTGAGTCTGCTCGACTGACAAATGCCCTGCAAGCAAAACATTTGGAAAATAATGAAGTTTCTATAAAAAAAAATGTAATGGAATGAACTAGTGATCAGCTGTTCTTTGCTCATAAACCATTGAACGTGAGGAACAAGTAAAATTGTGCAATTGATTGGAATGAACTAGTTAACATATTCATTGATCTGTCGTCAATTGTAAGGAACAAGTTCAATTGAACAACTACATCAAAATGAGCCAGTGAACTTATACACTGCTCATTTTTCATGCACTCATTGAATTGAGCAATCATCAAACTGAACTAGTGAACTTATTCATGTTCAAGTTCATGAGAGATTTGTTCCTTAAACTATTCGATTGATTATGAATTAACGTTCATGAACTGCTGAACTAACTAAGCTCAAGGCTCGTCATCAAATGTTTGTTGCTTAGTCGATCACACCCCACTGCTATCTTCAGTTTCTGTTTATTGATTAGCGGAACTTTGAAAAAATAAACCCGAGTTGCATACGATATATGAGATTTGCCAAATTTGCTTCACACAGCGCTTAAATGGAACCATTAACTGCGAGTTTATTCTGTTGAGTTGCTGTTGTTGTTGTTGCATGTGACGGCAACATGAAAAAACAGTCGCATTTCTGTGTCACTTAAGCGCTGACCATATGCGCCATGCCAGACTGTACAGTATGCACACATATGGCTCGAACCCGCCAGTTGGTCAGCAGTTTGTGGGCCCCGGCTTTCCGGTTTGGTCAGTCAATTGGCCGCACTGTGCGGCACACGCGACACCGACCAACCCCCAACCCCCAACCCCCAGCCCCCACCGTCCCCTGTTCAGTGCCCACTGCCTTCTCCCCGCACACCGTCCTCCAGCTAGACATAATCTGATTTGTGACACAACTTTTATTTTCTCTATGATTGCATTTTGCTTTTCATTTCGTGTCAATTTTTCTTTCGTCTTTGCTGATGCAATTGACCGCAGCTTGGAGCTGGAACTGGAATTGGAATTTGTATTGGAATTGGAACTGGAAGTGGAACTGGAACTGGCTGTCGGCCAGCAGCTGCCAGCTGGCGACCTACTTGTGTGCGCCTAAGTTCAATGTCCTGTCGCCAAAATCCTGCCTGCATCTCGCCTCGAAGCGTGCTTGGAAACGGCTAAAAGAAAAAAACCCGTTCTTAGCCAAATCGTAAATCGTGGCCTGCCTCTCGCATGATGTGTGGGCCATTCACGCCGACAGCCTCCATAAATATGCAGCAGCAGAACTCGAACAGTTCCACGTTGCCTGTCAATGTCTGAGCAAACACTTTTGACACTGTGGTCAAATGCGTCTTGTCTCGCCCAGCCGCATGTTAACATTTAGCAGCCAGCTGTGAGTTCCATAAATCAATTCGAGAGCTTTGTCTGTGGCTGGAGGAAAAACTCAACATCTTTTTGTTGGCGTTAAAATGCGTGTTAACATTTGACAGGCAGCTGTGGTTTGTGGTTATTAGACTAGCTAATAGACCTTTGACACTGCGATCAAATATTTTGTATAGTTTGAACCGCACTTAATATTTAACAGGCAGTTGGGGACTGAAAATCGATTGTGGTTGCTGCTGCTAGTAATCATGTTATTATTTAACACTCAGTTAAGCTACAAATATATCGCAATGCGTTAAACTTGAATATAACTTTAACTACATGCTAATATTTGACACGAAGCTCAAGTCCAGCTGAATCTTTGCTATAAAATGGAGTCAACACAGCTGGGAAAGGGTTTTTGTGTCGTTGTCAAATGTTACTCAGCAAACAGTTTAGCAGGCAGTTCAATATTTAACATTTACTTTAACTGTTACTGCTCACTTTAACACGAAGTTCGCTAATTTTAGCCAAGCTAAGAGCGCTTACTGCATTCATTGGCCTCCTGACTTCAGATCGCATTGCCTTTTGTGCGTTCGGTTTAATCAATTATGCAAGTCGACTGCCTGCCAACTATAAATACCCAATTGAGAGCTCATATTACAGAAGCAGATACAGCCAGGGGTAGGCGAAGGGAGAGGTTGGGGTGACGGTTGGGTCAGCCTTGAAGCACAGCACATATCCTGACACGGCGACTGACTGGAACAATAATCAAATTGTATAAATTTAGACGGGGGTAGTTTTTGCAATGGCAACAACAAACGCCGCTCCAACCCCCAACTGCCCTGCGAGGTCGAGGGTCGTATGAGTCATGCGGCAGGAGCATAACATGGCGTATGCGTGTTACGAAAGCAACAGAGCGACACAGAGAGAGAGAGGGAGAGAGAGCGAGAGGGAGGAAGCGTAGGAGTGGGAGGCAGCATACATGCCAGCAGTTGACAGACCTGCTGCTAGAGCCTTGTTTAGATACGTTGTTGTTGTTGTTGTTGTTGTTGTTGTTGTTGTTGTTATTGGGGTTGCTTGAAAGTCATTTCCTGTCCAAGCGCAAAATTTGCTAAGGGACATTAACCTCTTGCAGTGAGCTTGAGCTAATTGTGCTGTGCTCCGAAATCGAAATTAAAAGATACAAATACAG